CTAGCGATCAAGCAGGCTCTAGGGATCTTCTTTATGATCTGGTTTGCTCCTGACTTGCTCTTTTGCTCCTTTTCCTAAACCCTAAACCCTAAACCCCAAACCCTAAACCCTAAACCCTAAACCGCTCCTCGGGATCCTCGGGAGGCATGACTCTGTTGGACCTCGGCTTTGGGCTTCGGGCTGAGGGACTTGGGATGTTTTTTTCTTTTTTTGTTTAAAGGGCCCGTTTCCAACTGCAGAACAGCTTGAAGTCCCTACCAGGCTGAGCCAACATGCCGGGACTTGGGATTTAAGGTTTAGGGTTTTTGGTTTAGGGGTTTAGGGTTTAGGGCTTGAGGTAGAGGGTTTTTTGTTTAGGGGTTTAGGGTGGAGGGACTTGGGCTTTAGGGTTATGGTACGGCACCCTTATAAAAAGGACCCTAAAAGGGACCCTAGTTTAGAGAACTACCCCTATAGGATTTCTTGTTTAGGGGTTTAGGGTTTAGGGTCGGGGATTTAAGGTCTAGGGCTTTGGGGTTTGGGATTTAAGGCTTAGAGCTTAGGGTTTGGGGCTTCCGCTTTGGGATTTAAGGCTTAAGGTTTAAGGTATTGAAGCGTACCATAGAAGGTTGCTTCAAGGGCTCCGCGTAAGGGTTTCTATAAGGGATTCTATGAGGGTTCAATTCATCTGCGGGTTTCGAGTGAGGACCCGCGGTTTGGGGCTTAGGGTTTGTGCTTTAGGGTTTGGGACTTGGGGCTTTGGGTTTAGGGTTTAGGGTTTAGGGTTTAGGGTTTAGGGTTTGGGACTTTGGGCTTTGGGTGTCATGCTTTGTTTGAGGGCTTCAGGGTCAGAGGTTGTAAACCAAAGGTTGTAGATGAGAATCAAGCCAGGAGCAACACCCGAATGTTACAGTCCTGAAAAGCCCGACACCCTAAACCCTCAACCCTGAACCCTAAACTGCGAACCTGAAACCGCAAACCCTAAAAGCGGCCACCGGGCATGAGGAAGAGGAGCAAAGCATGGACAGAGCGGCGATCCATCGTTGGGTCGCTTTGGCAGTCGACCTCATTCCTGCGTCCCATTCAAGGGCTCCTTCTTAGGGGCTGAGTACCCTAGCCCGAAAAAGGTTAACCTTTTCAATTGTGGTAGGATTATATATATATATATATAAACCCCAAAAGGTTAAAGGTTACCTAGTCAGCCACTAAGCCTTTCAGGGTTCCTTTAAGGAGTCCTGGGAGGGGGGGCGCTGATAGGGTTTAGGCCCCGCTGGGTTTGTAGGGAACCTACCAAAACCTACTTGTTCGTAGACATGGGATTTATAGGGACCCTACCAAAAAATAGGTTCTGGTAGGTTAAGGTAGGGTAAGGGAGGTTCCTTTAAGACTTAAAACGGATCTATACGGGTTTTCAGTCTTTGTTTCATAGGGTAAGGCCATGGGTCTTTAGGGGTTTAGGGCTGCAGGGTGTTGGGTTTTAGGGTTTCGGGTGGCTTGTTTGAATGATGCGTAAGGCATCCATAAAAACGGTGCGAGGATGTTCAACATGTCAGGAAATCCCACATGGGTACTTCGCTCTAAATAAGGGTCCCTTTCCGGGTCCTTTTCATGAGGGTGCCGTACTATATTGGAGACTCAAAAAGGGGACCCAAAAATAGAGAATTACCCAAACACAAAAAGCGACAAAAAGGCTAACAAAAACAGTTGACCAAGGTTCGTGCGCCCCTCAACCCAGTTGGCTTCTGCAAACATCTGCTTGAAGTACCTGGGTGAGGGCATATATTATTGGGTTTAGGGTTCAGGGTTTAGGGTTCAGGGTTTAGGGTTTCTGGATTAGGATTTAAGGTTTAGGGTTTACCCTGGCCCTCCAAAGATCACTCATGTGAGAGGTTCGCCCGAGATCCGTGGAATGGCACACTTGTAGATGCAAGCGCGCTGCTGGGAAGGACTTGGGAAATACAGGCTTACAGCACATGAGGAATGCATGTACATGTGTTGTATAGACAGTACATATCGATAGTACATAGATATAGTACGTTTAAGTACAAATATAGTACAAATAGTGTAAGGATGTAATACAGCTATATGTACAGATATAGTACATGTATAGTACAAACATAGTACAGATATACTACATCAACAGTATATATTTATATATATATATAGCTATATAGTACAGTATTGTATATATTGATATAGTAGGTTCAAAGATATTTTGCAGCTGTGCGTCAGTACCCACAGCCCGAGTCATTCGAATTCGGATAATGATTTGGACATCAACCGTAGAGAAACTCCCAAGCCCTATACCTATAGGTTCAGTAATTAAAGCACCTCCAAAAATGATGATGGCATTCGTTGTCAATGAAGCGGGCTTTGCGAGCTCGCAAGCCGAGCTGCGAGGGTGAGTCCCCCCGCCCCCTGCTCTGCATTGCTGGCTGTGTGTTTTGTGCTAGAAAAGACTGGGATGCTGCAGCACGGCTCTTGTGCGCACCTTTTGTGCTTCGGCACACGCTTCAGCGCCCTTCATGAACAAGGAGGCAGGTTACTGTATGAGGATTCACCCCAATATTCCTGATTTACGTCGGGATTGCAGGCCATGCAGGATGCTGCGATCCAGCTGTATACTCTGCTGGATCGCGTACTCACCGAGTTGAACACGGATTGGGGAGCGATTCGTGAAAGCGAGGCTTGGGCGCGCATGGCAGTTTCTCAGTTTCTCTTGGAGGGCTTTTTTCTCACCTTGCAGGACGCACCGATCGTGCAGTTGACTGAGAACAGCCTTGCTTGCGGAAGTGTGTACGAGGTGGATGCATCGAGCTTACGAATCGGTTGCCTACGATGTTCGGTAAACACTTCGATGATGTCGTTCATTGAGTCATTCATGCTGGTAAGCTCGACATGATTCTTGAGGTGATATGCAACTTCCGGCTTGTGTTGAACATCTTTGCCAAGTACGGCCTGAACTTGCCGAGCCCCAAAATATTTGAAGCCACTTGTTTGCAATGACTTTGGCACCGTTCCTGCAGTTGCATCTACTATATATTAATTAATCTGATCAGATGGCGTTCAAGATCCTGAACGACAACCGCGGCTTGCTGGTACATCCCCCAAAGGGCAAGAAAAAGGTGCTGCAGAAAATCAAGACTGAAGCTCGTCAGCAACCACTTATAAAACAGAGTGTGAAATTGATTCGCCAGCGCATCAGGACTGGGCGGCCCTCGAGGGCGGTAGAGCTCGAAGCCTGGCGTCTTATGCTGTGCGCCTGACGCACAAGACCAGAAACGCAAGGACATAATTGTGCATATTTGGTCTGGAATAAATATATCTAATTGCAAACGCTTGGCAGGAGCCCCCAAGTCCAGGCTCTGAAAGACTTGATTGTTACTCTGCCCGGCTTCGATGTCAACCAGGCGCAGCTGTCTAGACTTCTGTTGCTTTCCGATTTGCATCTTTGAATTTACCGGGCAGGGTGATGAAGCTGGTGACAGTGACGAGGCAGTATTCTATCTTTGCTGCCTCGCCTTGTACGTACTTTGCAGCGACACATATGTTATTACTTGACAGGGCATGACAGTGGAGACAGCCGAAGCGAGCGGCGAGGTTTGCATGCACTCTCTAACTCAGTGCAGCTTCATCCTTATAATTCCGGACCATTGCCAGGCAGAGCCGGACTCGTCAACATCGGAGGTATCTCGTACTTGGGTGTGAACAGCTTCCAATGTTAACTAGCTTTGCCGCCAGGCTGCTTCCAGATCGGGATCCGCGAACTCCTTGAGCCCAGCAGCGGTGGGTACCTTATTTGGCACACGGTGTGCTATTCGAAATTCTCCAGCCTCACAGAAAGTCTTAGTACTCCGGAGCGCAGCCGCCACTGAGGCTGAAGGAGGCCAGAGAGACGTTGAGGAGACGTACGTTCTTATCTTAATTAATCAAATTTTAAATACTACAATGCTCCCGGCTAGGACTCCAGCGTGCCACCACACAAGGACGACGCTGGATGAATTGTCTTTCAAGGTTTGTCGCCTCCATGTGCATGTGTCATTAAGGAGAAATCCGAACTACCCGAGCAAACCGGTCCTGAGGACTGATCGCACGAATCTGTGCACCAGTACGTGACAAGCTGCTACCTGACAGGAGGAGTGCGAAGAGCCTGATGATCAGCTTGACGAGGCGCCACTGCTCACATTTAGAGCTATAATTAGTTTCACTAACGTGTCCGGTGAGGTGGGGCGCAATGAGCAATGTGGACCGGCCCTCCGGGACCGTTGCTGCAGCAACACGTCTGATCGAAACAATCCGAAATCGTTAGATTTCATGCTCGCTAGATATGTTGGCATCGCTTGTCAAGGCTTCTCGCACCATGTCCGGGCATAGGCAACAGCTCTCCACCGAATTCCTAATCCCTGGGCCCTAGATTAATTCATGTAACATATAATTGCCTATAACAATCTGAGAATCCTATACTTATCTATATTATAATTATAATATATATCTATATATATATATATATACATATATCCCTAAACCCTAAATTATAAAAGCTTAATTTCGCTATCTAGTGACACACCCTCGCACGCAGGACACCAAACCATTGCTGCCACCGGGAGCTGTGGTGCCCCCTGGCATTGCTGCGCAGCTCGGGCAAGCTGCAGACTTCAAAGCAGATGCTGAGCTGCTCCTGCAACAACAGCAAATCAAAAACAAAAAAGCCGAAGAAAGGGCGGAGAAGGCAGCAGCCAAATGAGCCGAACTTAGTCATCTGGGCAAGCCAAATCAATCGTGAGTAGTCATATTATTTTTCATTTTGGGCATTGTCTTATCATCTGAGGTCGAGCCAAAGCCAAGGCCCAGGCAGCCAAAGCCGAAGCAGCTGCTACGTCAAAGGGTAACAAGCGCAAAGCGGAAGCCGAGACCAATGACCCCTCCGAGGCGGGAGTCAGGGTGGACTACAAGTCACTAGACTTATCCAGTCCATATAGTATTTCTGCCATCTGTGGATTGGAAGCCAAATAACAACCATTCGAACCACTCCCCAAGCCAATCTATCTCTTCCAAACATTAGGGCAACGGCCCGGCTTCGGCAGATGCACGTCCGGAGCACGCGACTGAGGCATGGCTAGCCATGTAGGGTTCGAAGCTTAGGAAAGTTTAAAATTACTTAGGGCTTACAAGGTTTATGGGTTCGGGGTTCAGAATCTGAAATTTTAGGGCTTATTGCACATAGGGTTCTGGGTCGGTTTCGGGTTCAGGGTTTGGAAGGTTGACAGTTTGGGGATCGGGGTTCAGAATTAGGAAAAGCTGAGGGTTTACAAGGTTTATGGGTTCCGGGTTCAGAATCAGAAAATTTTACGGCTTATTGCACATAGTGTTCTGGGTCGGTCTCGGGTTCAGGGTTTACAAGGTTTATAGTTTAGGGATCGGGGTTCAAAATCTATATCGTTTGAGCTGATTATTAATTTTTATAGCTGTACGGATGCGGTGTCGTGGGGCTTGTGGGCCTCGAACTCTGAAAGACCCTTTTGCAGAGCCTTACATCCTGAACTGCCCAAATCGAAGCACCAAAGCCCAGTAATAAGTGTGTAGCTTATAATAACTATACGATTGCAATGTATGCTGCGAGTGACACTGCGGTTGATATAGGACCCTGATTAAGAAACGCTGGGTCTGCATTAATTTAGGGCTTTTGTTTCTTTATTTGGGGTATATATTGTATTTTGGGGGTTATAGGGCCAGGATTATTAAGGGGTTAGCATAGGGT